AAATCCTTGAATTTTAACAGGCCGCACCCTCCGGTGGCGAGGAATACCTATTGCGTGCCCGTGGACACCGATATGCCCCATCGTTTACCAGCGACTTCACTCTTCTGGCCTTTTGGTTCGAGTGAACGAGTGTGGGCTCGACGACGGCTGTCCGACGGCTGTATTTGAGTTTTGTCGCGCGAGGCTGTGGTCTTTGGTCCTCATCCTTTTGGGATGTCTATGGGATGTGCTCCTAGCTGGACTCTGGCAGCCACTGGCTGATGAGTCGACAATGTGGTGTCCCGTCCGCTGCAGCAGGGACCAGTGATCGACGGCGGAATCGTTGGTTGACGTCCACTGGAAATGAGTTTCGAGACGCGTAAGTAAATCAGTATAGAATTGTGGCTATATTTTAAAATATATCTTCCTTCACAGAACTTATGTACCCTACCGAGTCGTATCCGATATTCTCCCGCCAGATAGAGTCCTCTCCAGGGCTAACCGGCGTATTCCAGTCGTATTCGAGACACACCGAGTCCTATTCCAGCCAAACAGACTCGTATCGCAGCATGACAGAAGCGCACGCCTTGCAAGATCCGAAGCTAAGAAGCCATCGTCATCCTTCCATCTGGCTATCGACAACAAGGACTTTGAGGGAGTGGCTACGCGGGCTTCTAGATAGCTATCGTTCCCGTTAGGTTTAAGGATATACGCGTCCATATATTTAGATAGTAGATAGTAGAACAAATAGTTTATTTATTTATATTAAGCTAAGTTATGATGAATAAATTTATTGAAAAATCATCCTTGCTGTGTCCTGATCCTTGATAAGGACTCCATTAAATCAGGGATATTTTTCCGACCGCAGGAAGTTGTCCCGTAGATCGGACCACAAATAGCCAACAAAAATAAATATGTATGGTTGGGGTTGTTATAGTCCTTACCGAAGGATCAGTGAGATTTTTCTGATTACAACGAGCTATGGCATGCCCCGATCGGGCCACAAATTAAGGAGAACAAATATATTTATGTCTGGAGAAAATATCCTTGACCCTTCTTAAGGACTCCAGCAGATCAGGGACATTTTTCCGATCACATTAAGCCATCGCACGTCCCGATCGGGCCAAAAATAAGGAAGAAAATTAGATATGTACATGTATTTATGACTAGCGATGTTGAAGTCCTTACCGAAGGATTAAGGAGCTATTCTCATCACGGCAGGAAATGGAACGCCTCGATCGGGCCTCAAATAACGGAGAAGTCAAGATATATATGTCTGGAGAAAATATCCTTGATCCTTGATAAGGAATTCATCAAATAAGGGACTTTTTCCGATCACAGCAAGCCGTCGCACGTCCCAATCGGTCCAAAAATAAGGAATTCAATTCAATTCGCTACCGCTCAAATGGACAAAAACGGGAATTTCAAATTTCATTTTTCAAATTCCAAAATTTTGCAACGTTTTTCATATTTTCTTTGGCTACTTTTTCCTTTATTCGGCCGCTCAAAACGGTGGAAGACGAGAATTTCACGTCTGGGATACCAGGCGAACAGAAATCAGTAGAGGGTCCCAGTTTTTTAAATTCCTTTTAATTTTATTTTTCTGTTTTTCCATATGTTCGTTTTTCATATTCTCGTTTTCCTCGTTCTCTCGTTTTCCACCATTTTGAGCGCCAAAAGAAAATATGAAAAAACGTAAAAAAATTATTAAAAAGAATTACAAAAAAACCGGGACCTTCTGCTTATTTCTGTTCGCCTGGTATCCCAGACGTGAAATTCTCGTCTTCCACCGTTATGAGCGGCCGAATAAAGGAAAAAGTAGCCAAAGAAAATATGAAAAACGTTGCAAAATTTTGGAATTTGAAAAATGGCGGGAAAAATAAGAAAATTTAAAAAAGACCAGTGACCTTGTGCTGATTTCTGTGCGCCTGGTATCACAGATTTGAAATTACCGTTTTTGGCCATTTGAGCGGTCGCGAATTGAAAGTTATTGTACAACAACAAGAACAAATTTTGTACAACAATTGACAACAAAAACTTGTGTTGTTTTCTTCGTTATTTGAGGCCCGATCGGGACATGCGACGGCATCCTGCGATCGGAAAAATGTGCCTGATGTGATGGAGTCCTTATCAAGGATCAAGGACAATTTCCCCAATCCAAAATTTCTTACATTTCTCTGCTATTTGTGAACCGATCTGGGCGTGCCACGCCTCTTGGTAATCGGGATAGTTTCCCCAAAACAGGACACAGCAAGGATGATTTTTCATCCATATCATTTTTATTCAGCATAACTTAGCTTAGTATAAATAAATAAACTATTTGTTCTACTATCTACTATCTAAATATATGGACGCGTATATCCTTAAACCTAACAGGAACGATAGCTATCTAGAAGCCCGCGTAGCCACTCCCTCAAAGTCCTTGTTGTCGATAGCCAGATGGAAGGATGACGATGGCTTCTTAGCTTCGGATCTTGCAAGGCGTGCGCTTCTGTCATACTGCGATACGAGTCTGTTTGGCTGGAATAGGACTCGGTGTGTCTCGAATACGACTGGAATACGCCGGTTAGCCCTGGAGAGGACTCTATCTGGCGGGAGAATATCGGATACGACACGGTAGGGTACATAAGTTCTGTGAAAGAAGATATATTTTAAAATATAGCCAAAATTATATGCTGATTTACTTACGCGTCTCGAAACTGATTTCCAGTGGACGTCAACCAACAATTCCGCCGTCGATCACTGGTCCCTGCTGGAGCGGACGGGACACCACATTGTCGACTCATCAGCCAGTGACTACCAGAGTCCAGCTAGGAGCACATCCCATAGACATCCCGAAGGGATGAGGACCAAAGACCACAGCCTCGCGCGACAAAACTCATATACCGTGTGCAGCCGCTGGACAGCCGTCGTAGAGCCCACACTCGTTCACTCGAACCAAAAGACCAGAAGAGTGAAGTCGCTGGTAAACGATGGGGCATATCGGTGTCCACGGGCACGCAATAGGTATTACTCGCCACCGGAGGGTGCGGCCTGTTAAAATTCAAGGATTTTATTGAATTAAAGTTTAATATATTATATTATTATTATTATTATTTAAATAAAGTAATAAAATAAATAATAAATTTACCTGGCGTGGTTAGAGGAGATCGCGGCATATCAGTTGGCGGCCAGAGAAGGTGTTGGCCAATAGAGCTGGAGATATTGACTCGCCACCCAAACGGGTAAGGCGGCCGGAGAGATTAAAAGTGGACAAATCGCCAGAGCGGCGCAGGACGCGGTAAAGTAAACGTTGAAGCCCTGTACCCACTCATTAAAGTACGCTTTAACTGGAACCACAACAGAAAACAGAAACACAATCATTGTGTTATAATAACACATGCAAAGCGTTGTTGGGCTGACTGGATCATGAATACGCGGCGGTAGACGAAAGCCAGAGCCGGGATCCAGAAAGTTGCTTTGCGGCATGGTCGGTGTATGGTAATAATTAAGAAAGAAACCATCACGAAAATAGGATAATTTGTGTGTAATTGTTAAACTATTGGCTAGCAGTAGCAAACGTCAAGTCTTGTTCTAATAATTATACTCTATTATTAAGCGATACAACTCATAAGTCGCGTTTTCTTAAAACCGTTGGCAGGCGTGGAGCAGGTCTCCCGATTTCCATCTCGTTCTCATTGCCCCCTCGCTTTGATTGAGGAGAAAGCTCCGCTATCGAAATAGCTCCATTTTTGCGAATTATGGAATAGACGCATACATCGTCGGGTTCTTGACATATTGTCCGCCTATCAAAGTTGCGCACCCGCGGCTTCGGCTTCGGTTTGAGGGTCGGATTGTGTTTGGATATCGGCTTTTCCACCTCCGGGACCTCGGTGTAGTCAACTTTAATGGGAGTAACAAAGTTGCGTATCCAAACTTCAGCTTTAGGCTGCAGTACTTTTTTCTCCAAAATCTTAACGGGCGGTTGCTTTGCAGGCGAAGGTTCAGGTGCAGGCGAGAGCGACAAAGGCTCCTCTGGTTCATATGAGAGGACTGGGTCAAAATCAGGAACTGCCCCCTGAGAAATTTGTAAATGGTAGACAAATCCATTTGGAATAGGCACTAAAGAGCGTACTTACCACACAAACATGGAGCTTCTTGGCTTTTGGTTTGTCGGATATGAGAAGCCCGCACTTGCACTCCGTGTAGCCATGGAGTCTGTATACGGTACCGAGTCGTCTTATACTGAAGCACTTTTTCACATGGGCAATGGGGTTTTTGAACGCGATCATCTTTCTGCCACAGCTGGGGCAAACAGTCTCCTGCAGGACATCGTCAATGGTGTACCAAACAGTCTTCCTTGACCTATTAGTGGGGGCTTCTTTTTTGCTGCTTTCTCTACTCTGCGGACTGCTGCACTTAGCCACTGTTTTTATATTTTCAATGGCGACAGACATGGCTTGAAGATCTGACAATATAAAACTAAATACATAAGTAAACAAGTGCCCATTGTCCGGTTCGGACTAGTATAAATCCGATACTTACTGATATCCTTGATTATCGTTTAATAGTTTCTTAGTTAGTTGATTATTAGGAAAACGTCAAGAAGGACATGGGCAGTCAGTAAATATTTGTTAAATCTTTTAACAAAATATTTCAACTCAACATTTAATCCAGCTTGATACACAACTATCGACATTACTATCGATACATTATAGATGCCACAGTGCTCCGGATTATGTGGATACGGATTCAATTAACTGATTGATTTCTTGATTAAGAGTCCTTTGAGATAAAGAATCAAGACTATGAATTTGATTTACATCAATTAAGAAGGTGTGTTAGGACAACGAGGTTGCGGCAAAAGAATATATATTGGAACTATCGAAATTGCTTTGCACTGTATATATCGATACAAAGCTGCAGCATCTCTACGAACAGCTGTAATTTTGTTTGCAACTGAGTTTTTTTAACAATTTAGTAAATAAATAATTGCATTTACTAGCAATTCATTAAATGGGGATCAATCTTCTGTAAGAAAGACTCAACATCACAATGGGTAAGAGTGCCTTCGCACTAAATTTTAGTAGCAAGAGCTAGGAGCTCCTGCCGCCCATGGACAGACATAGTCGAGGACGCCACAGCTTATCTATGTATCTATTGAATTGTCCTTTCCTTTCTAGCCGAAGCAACGATGTGTTTACTCTGCATGTGTGAGTATCCATCGTCGTTTGGGGAGCTCATTGGTGTACACTCCGCGAGAGGAAGCGAGCTGGAGGTAGCCAGGATAATAGGCAAACACTTTCCACTGAAAGTGACGGAAAACAGTCCGGACCGGGTGTGCGGACGCTGCTGGAAAACAGTTTCTGAATTTCACGCGCTACATGAGTTTGTTAGCCAAGCACAGAGCTCTCTGCAGGAAACAAAGGTCCTGTTGATGGAGGATGATCCGCTCACGCAATGCCACTTAATCGAGACCCCCAAATTAGGGTGCGTGGATGATGTCAGAGCACAGGACCAACCAGAACTCGGCTGCGGGAGAAATTTCTTCTATCCCGAGGTGAAAATAGAGGAGCATGAGCTGGACCACTTACCTAGGATTGAGATCCTTGAATCCACAGCAAACACACACCCTGTCCAAGAGGAGTCTACCACTCCGGCAGCGCGGCGCTTGAGAAAGCGCGTAAAAGCTGAGGATGGAGCATGCATTGATAACGAAGAGGCGGCGGTCGAGCCGGCGGCAGCAGAGACAAAAAAAAGACGAGGCCGTCCACGCAAAGTGGACACTCCCATTGAATCCGCTGCCAAGACTGAAGAGGATGTATCACTGATTCTTAAATCAGAAGAGGAGGAAAACGAGTTTATCGACGAAGATCCAGATTTCTGCTGCAACATCGACGATGGCCTTGCGACAAGCGATCACAGTTTCGATGACAACTCGGGAGGGAGTGATGAAGACACCGACTCAGACTTTGAGTTAGACAATAAAGATAAGCTGGAGTTTGCTGTTGTACCCAAGAGAACTGTGGTGCGGCCCAAGAAGTACAAAAAGAGAACGAAGCCGTCTGAGCCGAAGGTGCGCATGTCCCGAGAACTACTGGAACAACGCAAGAAGCAGCAGGAGGAGTACGACACCATCATTGGCAAGTTCTTCAACAGCGTGCTGGCATGTCCGATCTGCAATCTGTCGGTTCAAAACTTTACGGACATGCAGCGACATCATCGTCTCACCCACCAGGTTGATCCTGGCTACGTGATGTGCTGCGGCCGCAAATTCAGCCAACGAAAAGTACTTGCGGAACATGTACAGGTCCACTGGAACCCAGAGCACTTCAAGTGCGCCATCTGCGAGAAAACATTCCAGAACTCAAGGCACCTGGAGTCACATAACCAGGTCCACATGGATCCGGCCGTCAAGCTAACCTTTAACTGCGACCTGTGCTCGAAAGTCTTTCTCAGCAAGACAGCCATAGACTATCACAAGTTAAACAAGCATGTCCCTAAGTCCGAATTCAAATTTACATGCAGCGTTTGCAACAAGAAGTGAGTACAATTTAAGATTCCCGTCAGATCTGAAATAAACGGTTATCGTATCCCAACAGATTCCTTACCGAGCGAAAGCTTAAGAACCATATGAGTTCTATGCATGATCCCGAGAGCACCATCATCTGCGACAAGTGCGGCAAGCAGATGCGCACAAAAATCATCCTCAAGAAGCACCAGGAGCTAATGCACTCGGACAAGCCGCGGCCCGAGCCGGAGCTGAAGCAATGTCAGATCTGCGGGGCCTGGCTCAAGGGCATGACTGGCCTGAAGCAACATATGAAGAGCATTCATGTGGAGAGCGCTGGTGAGCACCGGTGCCACATCTGTTCCAAACTCTCGCCTAATGCTCGAGCGCTTCGTCGTCACGTCTATCACAATCACGAGTGCGAACGCAAATTCAAGTGCACCATGTGCGAGAAGGCATTTAAGCGTCCGCAAGAACTGAAGGTGAGTGTGAAGCTGATTATCCCTCCCAACCAGCGATTTCTATTGCTCTCTTAAATCTGTTTGGCAGGAACACACGTCCACGCACACCGGCGAAGTACTCTATACCTGTCCGAACTGTCCAATGACATTCTTCTGCAGCGCCAACATGTACAAGCATCGCCAGCGGCTGCACCGTGCCCAGTACGAGGCGGACAAAAACCAGCCGAAGCCGCCGAATATTCTCAAAATATCGCGAAATGCCTCCTCGCAGAGCAAAACCAAACAGGAAATTTGAGCATTCATCATGAAGGAAATTAATGTATAAAGGACACTTTCTTAGAGCAGCCGAATGGGGAAACACTGCTGACGCGCTATGCCCCTCAAGACACGGGATGATGTGCACAGATCCCACGGGTTCTTGAGAAACGGAACCCAACCCGACAGCCAGCCGTCTAAGCTAACACCTAAACTAAGCTAAAAGGAATGTATCGCGGGGAATAATAAACAGAGCAAACTGTGGGCTCTGTACTCCGATGCAATCAATTGATAACGAAACAAAGTTGGGAATGTCTTTCTTTCTTTATAATTATTTACAAGGATGTCTTAATTGCACCTTATATAACGCAATGACAATTACATAGTTTCTGTTTTGTATACACATATTAGGCATAGTTTTAAAATATTTATATTTATATACTGTATCTCTCTCACGATTTGCTTAAATTGGTGCACACAACTTGCGGCCCGACAATAGGAAAAACTGAAAAAAAAAAAACTACATACTCGTACAAATATTATTGTTCATTTCGCCCGATGCAATCCCACCGATCTGATCCCTATTCAGGCTCTCATTGCAGCAACTGGCGGTGGTTAGGGAGGGGCTTTACACACTCAACACTCAGGGTTAGAGTTTGTATAAATAAAAGAATAGTAGTTGTAGTAGAGACGAAACAATAAGCAGAGCCACAAAAATAGTCTGACTGCGGGCGATTCTCATTGCGATTAGTGTTGAAACATGCGCGAATAGTTATTAACATTTTGATATCTAGGCAACATTTATAAATACAATACTTTCGTTAGTTATTTGTTTACTTTGGATCAATATTTTGTTAGATTAGCTTCCCACGGAACACCTCCTTTCTGCTTACATTAGTTGTAGGGCATGCTATTGGTTGTTGGCTGCTGTTGGATTGCTTTTTGTTAGTCACAGACACAGAAAAAGATACATATACCGAGTGGAGCAGAAGCACGAAACGAGACAAAAGGCGTTTTAAAACAAAATTTAACTCAAATGTTTATTGGATTGCTACCAAACACAAAAGGAGACTGGAACGCCTGGGCTTTAGCTACGTGTTAAACATTCATATGGTAATAATCATAGTACGGCATTAGAACAACATAAAATACTGGTTTGCAAACTAAAGATGGACAGGGGACAGGATACAAAATAGAAGCTCCTACAATATCTGGGAGGACTGCAAACGTCCGGTTCGTTTTTGCTTAGTTTTGTTTGGATTGCTGACGCGTCTTGTGATTTCTCTAGCCGGAAGTTAAGTTGAAACAGAATTCTGCACACGCGCAAACATAAATAACAACAATAATTATATAACAATGACTAAAATTATTTAAATTTAACTATTTTCTTTCTGTTCATTTCATTTCTGCTTTTAATTCTGTTTAATTTTGCCAAAGCAACTGCGAATGCTTGGTTCAGCCGATGGATTTCAATAGTATATTTGCTTGGTTGTGTGTGTATTATGTATTTTGTGGGCTGGCTGGATGGTTGCATTGATGGGTGTAGCAGGCGGCACATCTTAAACCTTGCTTTGCTCAACCATATCGATATTGACCTTGTAGAACACATAGGGATAGTATTCGGACTGGCCAAAGCCCAGGCCGGGTATATCCACATTCTGTAAAAATAGAGCATTGAACCAAATAAATTTTAACGAATTCAATCGGTAATAATTGGAAACTCACATCAGCACTGCTGACTTGACCGCCAGCCGAGGCACCATCCAGATGTCCGTAAAGCTGGTTGAGCACATCACGCAAACGCTTCACGCTCTTCTTGTTGGGCTCGATCAGAATGGCCTGGAAGTTGACCGGCAGCCCGTATCTATGGGGGTTACAATACAATCATTAGTGCCCAGCACTTTTTAGAAATGATCAATTACGGCCGTACCTCAGCACAGATTCTACAAAGACGCGCAGCGCCTTCACGTGAATGAGGGCACAGAATGCCTCACTGAAGTTAACCTTCAGCCAACGCACAAGGGGTCCCTGGTATCGTTAGTAAATTGGAGGAGGATTAGTACATTGCACCCTTATCAGTTGAGGCATTACATACAAACTGCTTCTTCTTGTCCGTCATCAGCTTGGTCATCTCGTTCTTGCCGGCGGCCAGCTCTTCTTCGTTGTAGACGAAGTCACGAACAATGAATTTGCGCTCGCGGGCATGTAGCTTGAACTCCTCGGTGACCTTCTTGAAGAGCGTCACATTGAAGAGACAGTAGTCGCTGTCCTCCTGAATGAGCTGCGTTGAGCGTGGCACGATCATGTCCGTGATCTTCTCGTAATTGGCATGCCAGTCATTGGTCAGGACTCTGTTTTTGGGGAAGTTTTGAAGGTTTGAAGTATGTTAACTGTAGTCGGGAATATCTCTCTACCAACTCACTTGGGCACAATGACCAACAGAGTGGTCAGGTATTCCGAATCCAGAATGAAGTGCTCCTTTTTGACCAAATCGGCCAGGTTCCTGGTCAGCAAGCTGCCACTGTGGAAGGGATAGGATAGCAATAGATGGTTAATATGTGTAAACATTGACTAAAGATTCGACTGCACTCACGTCTTTTTCTTTTCCAGGTTTTGCAGATTTCCCTTGAGGTTGTTGTAGGCCTGGGACTTAGTCTTCAGGTCGCCATCGATCTGGCCAATCTGCTTGGAAATGATATCCGCAATGTTGCGCAGCGATTGCTTGATCGGATACTTGGCCATGTCCCATTGGAAACGGGTCAAATACTGCGGCAGCTCGGCTGTGTTAAGGGATAAACGGCAGAGAGTTAGTCGGGTTCAGGATCATTATATTGTTGCATGGATAGTCGGTTCACTTAGAGGAAGAGCAGAACCATATATGATTCATTGCTCAATTAATGTTCAAGTACAAAACGGAAGGGAAAAAATATATATATCGTAATCGTACTAAAAGTTTATATAGATTTACGCTCGAAAGCTATTTTAAATTAAAATTTTAAATGTAAGTAAATTAAGATAAATCAAAATTTTCTTGTTAGAATTAGAATTATTCGGATAAAACGCACACACATACTACATACACGCACACATTAAAGGAACACAACGAAATTAGAAACAATTTGGATGCAATACAGTTTTACAGATTCTACGAGGACTGGGACTACGCATATTAGTCACATTTGGAAGAAGTACCTTTCGGATTACACTCTCAACACTGCACATAAAGTTAGCTGGATGTTAGTATTGGATTGTGATAAGTAATAACAATTTAAAGATATAAATATGTAGGCATCTCTCATAGGTAGACACTCAACAGGCAAATAATAATGCAGAACGAAAGCATGACAATATTTTAAATTAAAATTCTCAACATTTGGCTCTGGGCAAAAGCGGAGCTCTGGGTGATTTTTGTGGCATTAGCTTAATGAAGTCGGAGCTATGATGTGGATCAGCGACAACAACATTGTTTGGGGAGGGCATACACTGAAAGAACAACATAATATTCGCTTTTACACTGTTACAAATAATCAAAGATCCGTGATGAGCATATATTTATAGGTATATATGTATATATATCTGTGTGATCGAAGGAAATCAAAAGGGAAAGCGCCATTGCAAACTCAACAAATACAAGTACCACAGAGAGAGATATAGAGACAGCGAGAGAGAGAAAGGAGAGAAATATAAATCAAAATTGAAAAAAAGAGCCCGCACTGTAGGCGGAAGGTGTACCGTAGAAACAGATGCAACGATTCAACTAAAAGATAGATAGAACAGAAATTCGTCTTGTTTCTTTTATTTTATCATATATATCTATATATATTTAAGTATTTTTTTGCTCGGATAAGAAGACGTAAGACGTAAGTAACGTGAGAGAGGCGATGGTGGTGGTGGTGGTGTGGTGGTGGGTACATCAAGTTGCTCAATAAACGATAATGGAAAAGAAGAAGGTAAAAACAAGAAGAGAAATCAAAGGGAAGAGCAACACATCCACATGAACATTAACATTTCCATTTACATGTGTCATGTCAATGTCAAGCCAATAGGTGTACGAACATGGTCGAAACACCCTGGCGGCATGCTAACCTGGACTCAGCGGAAACTCTGGCGGCTCTGGATTATCCGTGTCCGGACTGGATCGCCCCTGGCTACTACTGCCACAACAACTACTCACTGGAGACGATCTATGTGTTGGTGTTAAATTAAATCCATTGTTTATATTTAATTGACTCGATGTAGAACGTTTGCTATATATTTGATCGGCAAGAGAATTGAAGAAAGAGCGATAACTAGAGCGCGGTGTGGTCGATGCTTGATGCCAAAATGTCATTGCTTTGGATTGCTGTTGTTGTTCTTGGTGTAGTTGTTGGTGTTGCTGTTGGTGTTGGTGTTGGTGGAGATGTTGTTTTTCGCATTGGTGTGCACTGTGTCATTCAAGTGTTGGGTGATTTCAGTGTTGTTTTGTGCGTATGGTGTTTTCGTGATCGGGATCGTGATTCATGTTTGTGGCAATGGGATGACCGATGATGAGAAGTGATTTAAAAAAGAAATACATTATTATTGCATTGGATTCTGTTCTTCCACTTAATCAAATCAAACATTTATGGGATTTTCTGTTCCGTTTTCTGTTTCGTGTACGAGTAGAGTATATATATGAAAGCAGGCAAAGCGGATGCTCTGTGCGAGACTGTACTTATGGATCTGTGTTGTGTAACGTGTGTTTTTACAGCGTGTCTGTGTGTTGTGTGTGAGTGTGTGGACAGGACAGGTGTTCAGTGTTCAGTGTTCAGGCATAAGGTGTAAGGGGTAGTCAGTAGACTGGGGGCATGACGTGGAGTAGCGTAGCGGGATGACTGCGGGTGACTGGCATATTTACTGATTGTCTTTTGGGTGCTTGCTTTGCGATTTCAATGGCAACGGTCTACAATAGTTAAGGCGGTGATTAGATACCTGCTCTTTTTAGAGTTACGCTTGGGCTTATTGAACCACCAGTCGAAAGTTTCAGATAGATCGGAGGATCTGGCGCTGTTCGGACTTTTGGGGTCACCATCCGTGGTGTTCCCCCCGTCCGCATCCATATCGGACGAGTCGCACGACTTCTGGGTCGGCGACTGAAGCGGCGATGAGGATGAAAGATCTCGCTTCTGCTGATACTGTTGATTCTGATTCTGTTGCTGATGCTGGGGCAGGTTCAATTGACTCACGTGGCTGCCGCTGCGGAAGCTGAGCTTGTTATGGTTTATGCTGCAAGTGTTGTTATTCAGCTTCTTGCTGTTAGAGCGCGACATGCTGTGCACCGAGCTGCTAGTGGTGGGCGCCGACGTGGAGAAGTAGGCCGAGGAGCAGAGGGTCGAGGCGGAGCTGTTCTTGGCGGGTGCGGAGGCGGCAGCTGCAGCGGGAGGGTGCCCCCCATGCGCATGCGCAGCGGCAGCGGCCGCACTTGTGCTGGCGCCTCCGACAGAGCTACCACCACCCAGGTTGCTGCCCGTGGCAATGGCCGCCATTGTGGAGAGGGCACTG